GGGGCGGGGGCGCGCGGCCACACTCGGGCCCGGGCCCATGGGAGCGCTGAGCCGGGCGCCGGAGCGCTGAGCGCGGGCGGGCGCGGCCGGAGGAGCCATGGACTGCAGCCTCGTACGGACGCTTGTGCAGAGATACGTGAGTACTGCTCGCAGGGGGCCCTGGGGACCAGACACCCCCCGCCTCCAGCCCCCGATCCTGCTGCGGCCGCCAGCCCAGGGTCCCTGAGGGCTTGGGCGGCCTGGTGACGCTGGCCGCCTCCCGGGCGACGAGCAGGACTCAGGGAGGACCTGCGGAGTTTGTCCCCTCGGGCTTCCGACGGATCCGGCGCCCACCTGGCTCCGGGTCCGCAGTCCTCCCCGGAGTCCCGGCTGGGATGGAGCTGTCCCAGCGGAGATCGTCCCTGGGCTCGGCGCAGGGCCCAGGTCTGGGAGGGATGTTCAGGTTTGACCTCCTGCCCCTTATGCACGAGGATTAGGAGGTTGGGGGTGTTACACTTATGCAGAAAAAGGCGGTGATCTTGCTTGTTTCTCACACACTGGAGGATTTAGAAGTGAAGTTTGGACTCTGTTTTTTCCCCCTGAAAGTAACTAATCAAATCAGAGGCTCGGGGTATTCCGAAGTTCCCTTGGCATCCACCTTCGGTGGTGACCAGGTGGTGAGATCTGGGGCAAGGTTGGAGGGGAAAGCATGGTTTTGTTTTACATCAGACCGAGGGGAAACGGTGCCGGTGGTAATCACTGGCACTGGGCGTAAAAAGGGGGTGTGTGTGCAGAAGAGAAAGAAAGCTGACCGGAGGGTGCTGTTTTCCTGCCACTGTCTTTAACAAAAGACTCATTGTGTTCCTGAGCGGCTGATGGCCCCTGCCCGTGGTTAGTCACAGGTCTGAGTCCAGGGTGCTGAGGTCTGAGACTGTTATTGTGGGATCTTTTTTTGTTTGTTTTTTTTTGTTTGTTTGTTTTTTCTGGTATAGGAATTACCTTAGGCAGTCTTTCCTATTTATGAGCTTTCTTTGTGGAGACTTTGGCAGAAGACGAAAGTGTTTGTTTTCATCCAAGGGGAACGCCAAACCAATGCTTTTCTCTTGAGTCTATTCACTAAACAGAAGACTCAAGAAAAGAGTCTAGGGAACTTGCCAGTGCACCTTCGGTAGTTGTCCCTTAGGAAGGTCAGCCTGAGTTACCTTTTTAAGTGGAGAGAACTCTCTCTGATTCTGCTAAGGGGTGGGGAAAGGCTTAGCAGATGAAAAGACCTGTTATTCCTCCAAGTCCACATTATAATGGGAGTGGTAAACATCAGGTGACACCTTTGTTTTTCTACAGTAATAGGATCTAGAAAACCCACTAACTGTGAGAGTAGGTAACCGGATTTATAAGAGATGCTTTATTGGGTGCGGACATTCTTTTCTCAGCTGTATCACCCAGGAGGTCTGGGTCCCTAGGCACTTTTTTTTTTTTCTGCCTCGGTTTTCTCAAAGGGAACATGGAAAAAGGGAGAGTGGAACTATTATTTACTTAAAATATGCTCAATTATTTTTTGAGTTCATTTCTGTTCTCTTCCAACTCTAACACTTTGCAATAAAAAGGAGGGTTGAATTGTAAGAAATAATGGCCAGCCTGTCTCCATGAGAGATGAAGGGTGGAAAGGCCAGCTTGCCTCTTCCGCTGACCTGACGGAGGCTCACTGCCTGTGGGTCTGACCTTCCCACCCGTGCCTGACTCTTGCCTCCTGTGAGAGAGGCACACATATGTCTAATTTTCATCTGTCTTTTACTCCCTTACTTCCTCCAGGCCTTCAGCTGTCTTATGTTATATCAATCTATATAAATTTCAATGTAGTTTGCATTTTAAAATTCCATTTTGGTATGTTACTAAATGTATGAAATTAAATTTCCTCTCAAATCTAAGTGGTGAATATTTTTGAATGAACTTTCCCAGCATATGCCTTTTTGGTAATATCCCTGGACTGCAAGTTATGTGATACTATTATTATTTCTATATTTGTCATTCCACATCTTTTTTTATTTTTTTTTTCAGTCTGATCATTTGGCTACCTCACTGTATTCACGTACAAAATCATTCATTTCCATGCTGTTTAACTCATGTCTATAGTATTAAACTAATTTGACTTTTTCCAGAAACAGCCAGGATCTGTTTTCTTAGAAGTTGGTTATCCTTCAATATGTAGGACCAAATTACATTTTCTTTTGCTAGAAGAAAAAAAACCTCTGGGATTGAATATTCATAATTCCCGCCATTTCCTTATGTGACTTATTTTATAAACATGAGTAAGTAGCTTAAACCCTGTTCCCTTCTAGTGTTCACATAGTCAGAATTTCTAGGACAAAGAAAACTTTTCAGCGCCTAGTGACGCATGAGGTTTGCCAAAAGATAAAGAAGGCTTTGGAAAACATTGCTATAGGTATTTTATTCTGGGTTAGTTCCAGAGAGAGAAAATAGGCAAATAAATGAGAGCATCTATTCCAAGATATGCCATATGTACTTCAAAGCATGTATTACTGGTAGTTTGGATGCTTGGATGGATATAGCTATGTAGAGATAGTTTGTGTTTATAAATGACACAGTACTTATATTCCATGAAGTAGTTTAATCTACTCTTTAAAGAAGTTTTTAACAAAGTGGGTAAAGAGCTAGTGTCATCTCCTTTTTAGAGATGTGAGGTGGGAAACCTAGATTCAGGTAGTTTAAATTCTGAGAGAAACCAATGTGTAGCAGATTCTATAGGCAAGGTTACAGTGTAACCTTGGGCAGGTTGCTTCTTGTTCTCTGCTCCTGTTTTCTCATCTAAGACTAATAGTAGTACCCATTTCATGGAGTTATTGAAAGGATTAAATGAGTTACTACAGATCAGGAGCTAAGAATGGTGCCTGGCTCTGAGAAAGTGCTCAGTAAATCTGTCACTACTAGTTACTAACATAATTTTGTCTCTGGGTAGGCTGGTAGGGAGAGAGCAAGCAATTTTGTTGGTCAGTCAGTACCGGCCGGCAGGGGCCCAGGGTTGCGTGGGACAGGTAAACTGGGTACCCTGCTATTGAGCAGCGGGTAGGGCTCAGATGGGATTTGGCAAACTTTAAAACAAGGTGTGCTAAAATACTACAGACCAAACAAAAAGTCTACAGGCCACATTTTTCCATGAAATTTATTTATGGGTGAGCGTCCCAGGGCAGGATAACCTCATTGGCAGGACACTTTCTCTTTCATGCGTCCCATTTAGGAGATTTGACTTTAAAGTTCTGTAGGTCAAGAGCTTAATTTTGTTATGTCTCTGTAATTCATTTTTAATAGTTCAACCTGGATATTGTTTACTAGTTTTGTTCTGCTGCTTGTCAAAGTTGCTACTTGTTTCTATCTTATAATTGGTGCTTTCTAGGATAGTTCTTAGATTTTAAGATAGAAACTAGTGAAAAATCTAAAGGTTTTCCTGGCCGACAGTTTTGAAACAAACTGTTACATTAGGATTTTCTTCATAAGGGAAAAATAAATATTATTGGTCCCTGGAGAACTTTAAGCATGGTCATATTAGAGTGCTTTAAACATTCTAAAAAGTTCAACAATTTTTATACATGCACATGTGTCTGCTTTTGTTTATTTTTTTTATCACCAAATGGTTTTGTGACATGCACATCTGTGCTCACCTGTGAGGTTGCCTGTTCTAAAAGACTGACTTATTTGTTTGACTCAGTTACACTACTTTGTTTTAGAACCTTAAAAAGCTGCAGAATTTTGGAGATGCCTTTTCTAATCCAGCTTCAGATGAGACAGTGGGGCCGTCCTATTGTTCAGCTCCTGGAGGCTACACCACAGGACCTCTAAGTTAAGCCACTTGATCCACCCAGGCCTTCAGGTATTTGAAATAGGTGACCTTTAGGCATATTCTCCAAGACTAATAGCTGGTCTGGCTCTGGCATTGTGGAGCAAGGCTGTAGTGCAGCCTTGTAAAGTGTTTACACGTGAGTTTACTAAGCCCGAAACCTGCCTTCAGGGGTTCGTATGTTTCAACTGAATATCTTAGGGCAGTCTGCCTAGATGTATAATTTAACCTGGATGTTCTAGCTCTTAAGTTAAATGCTGTTCATGCTTTCAAACCCCATTTAATATCTGCTTATGAGGAGTAAGTGACCTTGAATTGCTTTTATTTCATGCCGGAGAGTAAATTTAATAACATAGGTGAAAAGGAGTTTATATTATTGGATTTTGCTATAGGCAGTTACATTTCTAGGGATGAGAATATTTTCCTTAGTTTACAGTTGGCTAAAACTGCATTAAGCCTACTAATGAACATACCTAGCTGCCTACCTACACAGGAAGTCCTCTGTTTACAAATGTGCTGGACTCTGAGACCTAAATACGAATTGTTCCTCGGTGCTTGGGCAATATGTTTGAATAGAAACGAGGTTAGTAAGAGATGTTTAGATTCCCAAAGCCCCAGACTTATAAATGCTTTTGAAAACCAAGTTACGTGTAGGGGAAAATGCTATTTATTTGCAATGAAAA